CAGGCTCGGAGGTAAGAAGTGGATTATCCTTCACCTGAAATGTTTGTCTTTTCATCCTGAAATGCGAGGCAAATGTTGGATCACAATAATTAGGAACCACAGTTTCCACAAATCCCTTCACTCGATTGGGATGTTCTCTTTTATTCTGGACGGCAAGGGCAATGACTGTAACATCGACCGTATATTGCAGTATTAAACGTATTTATACCGATTTCATCCGGCTCCGAAAATTCTTCAAAAAGAACACAAAGAATGGACTACATTAACATTAGAATTGTAAACCGAAAAAATCAATCAAATCAACAAGTGAGACAAGTACGTTTTCACAATTTCTTACGAAAATTAATAATTTTCCAAACCTAACTAAATAACTGGAGGCAGAGTTATTTTTAACTCCATGTAGATCACAAACCTCTGAAATCGGTTGATAAATGTAAACGTTATCGTGTTTTTATCCAGAAAAAAACGCAGCTCCCCCGTTTACCTCCGTTTATTTTTAAGGCAGTCTTGCCCTCACAAACATGGCGGACGCGTTGACGTATCGCAGCATCGGCTCAAAGCGGCCAGTGAGGCGTCTAGGTATTTATATGTCTATGGTTCAACGCACCACCGTTTCCATTTAAAAAAGGTTTTGCACCGTTTTTGTCGGGGCTGAACGCAGCCCAGGTCTTATCAGAAGACGTCGCAATTGACACCGTAGACTTTAACTTTTCTTTACAGACTTGTAGTCCGACTTATTTTCCACCATTCAGTTTCACTAGCGAAGCCCACAATCACTCAGAAGTACGTACTTGACCACAAAGCAAAACATGTGCCGTTTCTCAATATGCGTTCTCGTCTGTTCTTGTGTTCTTGTGAAACGTCATCAGTCGTTGCCCAAGTACTGTTCCAATTCAAAGTTCACATCTAGCCAAGTACAGTTCAAATTCTCGGAACCCCCGGATGTGTTCTTGCTCCGCCCGTTTTATCAAGGATGCATCCAGAGGTGAAAGTACACTGCTGTTCCATTTGCAGAATTACCGGACTTGTGTCCCCCCATCCCTAGGAGTTCGCTACTCCCGAGTCGAACTTGCGAAGTCCGAACTACCGTGGACGCAACTCCGAACTTTGCGTACTTGGTATTGAGAAACGGGTGTTTGTCAGCTTGTTCTGTTCTCTAATTCTTCTTCTTCTTCTTTTGTGTTTAATGGCGGTTGGCAAACCCGCTTAAGGTGCATTTCTGCCACCTACTGGGATGGAGTGTGAGGCCTCGATGAACGAACATATTATATACTACTAATATAATAAAAATAAATAAATAAATAAAAAACTAAATTCTTCTAATCAAATCTGTATCTCTCAGATATTTTAGAAGAAAACCATAAACCCTTAGATGTTTCTGTGCATTCTGAAATATATTCATAACTGAAATGTCATTGATTTCCATATCTCTTAGTTTTTCAACAAGTTGCTTTCTTTGTCTATTATATGCCTCACAATGTAAGAGCACATGTTCAACTGTTTCTGTTATTCCACAGTAACTGCAGCTATCTGACTCACTTTTTCCTATTATATGCAATGAATAATTAAGGTTAGAGTGTCCTATACGGATCCTGGTTATAACAGTATCTTCTCTTCTGTTTCCATATACCTTTCTTTCAATCCCCACTTTCTGTTGAATACTAAATAAGTGTCTCCCTTTTGACTCTTTATTCCATACGTCTTGCCACATACTTCCAACTGCTGTTTTAATAATACCTTTTACTTCTGTTTTACTTAAAGGAATTTCTATGTCAATCTCTTCTTTTCTCAATGCTGACTTGGCCAGCTTATCCACCTCCTCATTTCCTTCTACACCTACATGGGCAGGTATCCATAAAAACTCTACTCTTACTCCTGTTTGGTTTATTCTATATAAATTCTGTAAAATTTCATAAAGTATATCCTGTCTAGATGCTGATTTCCCACTATTTAAACTGTTTAATACTGAATATACAATAATTTATATACTCATGTTCCCAACATCTTTGACTGGATGGGTTTCTAAATGCCCCCTTTATGCCATCTTTAACTTAAGTCTCCGGAGGTCTAAAGGCAACTCCGCCATTTCCACCTGCATCGCTGAGACTGGCGATGTTCTAAATGCCCCACTTCCTATTCTTAGTGCCTGAGATTGGATACCTCAGTCACAACCCAGTGTCGCCAACCGCGCCTCGTTGGGTCGTTACCCCCAAGCAATCCCTCCTGGCGCAACGCTGTCTTTCCTGGCTCTCTGTTCTCTACTGCTGAAACAGCTGAATATTACGTTACCAAGTCTATTATCGCCCCTTAGAGGTAAAATTAAGGAATTGCAAGGAGGAGGGCATTTCATTTTTCAGTCTTGTTGAAATGGACCAAGGTTTCATATAATACCGTTCAAAAAAAAAAAAAAACCTTACCTAGGCTGTATTTATTTGTTTGATTAAAATATTATTATAATTTAAAGTAACTTGAGCAACTTTGAATACATTTTAAATTGTATCCACCTTTTTCTTCAACGCGGAAGTAAGCCTATGGGTGAGACTTCCGGTTCTTTTTTTTTTATTTTTATTATTAATAATAATGCCAAGGTACCAAATATAAAAATACAGAGAATATCAACATTACATACAAATAGGTGACATTACATGCAAAGCACCATTTATATATGTATGTAACAATAAATAAATAATACAAAACGTAATCCAGAAGCGCTTTCTAGATTACAGTTTTTTAACGAGAGGAAAACGCTTTACATTTAAACATGTCGCGTTAATATTGCATGTCTCGTCTGCATGTCTTTTAGCACCACCGTCTTAGCACATTAAACCAGCATTTGAAAATGGTACAAAACTTTCCCCAAGCTCCTGGGGATTTGATTTTGCTGGTCATTTGTTGAAATAAATATAAAAAGTACAGTGAGTTCGTGACTGTTCGCTGAATGTGACCCACAATCTGTGATTCTCCTGCATGGCCATGGAAAAATTAATATTTATAATGACAACAATTACACTTTGTCATTTAAAAGTTTCCAACAAAGAAATGGATGGACTTCTGTCAGCTTGTTGAACACACTTTTATTTGGATAATGTACCATATGATGGGCCGTGCAAAGGGCTATGGTGTAAAGTGAGCCTTAATCACTCCAACGCGATCTTAAGTAGAATAATACACATTAAATAATATCAAAGGTCTACATTCACTATATTATCCAGTCTCCGCTGACCTAAATTCCCAGAATGCATTGCCGCTGTGACGACACATTGCCATTCTCTATCCACCTTTTACTTCAACGCGGAAGTAGCCTATGGGTGAGACTTCCGGTTCATTAGCCGCTGTAGGTAAATAACGACGAGAATAACAACGTGCAGTAAACGGTATAACTGTTGCACTATACAAACCAGTGTGTTCATAATTAAGATAATACATTAAAATAATATGATAAGACACACCAACTTTCAATATGAAGCAGCAAAACGAACTGTTTTGTTCAGCTAAAAATAGCTGCACGGAGTGGACGCAGATGAGACCGGAAGCCAGACCCATAGAATTTACAAACGGCCGCGCCCATTTTTACGACAAGAAAAAGGTGGATACAAAAGCAGAATTTTCAGCCGCCATTAGTCCAGCCTTCAGTGTCACATGATCCATCAAAATTATTTTATGTTGATTTGGTGCTCAAGAAAATTTTTTTATTATCATCAATGTTAAAAAGAGTTGTGACGCTTATATTTTTTATTATGTATTGTGGAAACCATGATCAGGATTTTTTGATAAATAGAAAGTTAAAAAAATATATAAAATTATGTCACTTTTGTTCAATTTAATGCAAACTTGCTAAATAAAAGTATTGATTTTTTAAAATAAATCTTACTGTGCCCACACTTTTGAACGGGTGTGTTATAATGAAAAACAAAATATCTCGATATTTTCTGGAATTTTGTCAATAACGATTAGACAATATTTCGTGTTATTGTGCTGGTACTTTGGCAGGTTGAGGACTGCCGTGGACAGCTGACTGCCAAAGCTTTTGATGTACTTCATATTCTGTGCAGAGGTTATTAGCAGGAGTAACATAAATTCAATTTTTCAATAAGTTTTAATTGATTTGACCTTTTATGGGCATTTTACCTTTATAATGCAATTTTCTAACCTAATTAAATGTATACATCATCTTCTGTGTCAAATTCCTAAATTTAATCAATAAATTAAAACAGTAAGATACTATAGGGCTGTGACCAATCAAATGAAATCAGTATCAACAAATTGAAACATTTGTGTTTGCAATGCAAAGATGGCACAGAATCTGCATCTGAAGTGGCATTTGGATGCATTAACACAGACTGTTTAAGACATGAATGCATTTAACCTGCAGTTACAAATGCACAATTAATGTTTTGATGTTTAAAAAAAAACGATGCATAGGCCTAATGATATTTAAAATGATTTGGGCTAGGGCTTTGTTTGGAACTATTTTCATTGTCAAAATACAGCAAAAACAAGAACTGTGTTCTAAACTGTAAGCCACTTAATTCTTGTTTATTGAACTGTTCATCAGATCAATTTGCAATCATGCTGATATTTGGAGAAGAACGTCACTCTTCGTGTGATATATAAAATGATATAAATATAAAAAAAACATATAAAGTCAATACCGGGGGAATTTTTGCCCCCTTAATCTTGCATTCTGGGGGAAGTCTAAAAGTATTTTAATAGATTACATCACGCAGTGAAATCGTGAACTCTAAAAAATGTGCTCGCGCAGTAGTCTAACCTACATCATGTAGTGTATGCAGGTGCACTCTCTGGGTGTATTTTTGTTTGGTTTTTGCTATATACTCGACAACAATTACGATATTATCGTAGACGATATATATATCCGTAGATAGATAGATAGATAGATAGATTCTATTGTGTGTACTATTATTAGTATTGCAATTCGCATTGGCATCAGTAGCTATAGTATTTTTATAGAAATAAATTCATTCAAACAGGATTTTATGGTAATATAAATGGTTATATTTTAGAGTGGACAAATCTACATATTTCAGACCACAGGTATTTCAACACTTTTAGACAATGTTTGACTACTGCATTTAATCAAAATGCTATCACACAGATTTATCAAATCCATTATTTGCCAATCCAATAGCAGGACACTAGACATTAAATAGAATTTAGGAATCAAGAATTCAAGTTGCACTTGACTAGCTAAACCACTGACTGATTTAATCATTACTTCTGCTTACTGTAAACATATCTGCATAATACAATATTAGGGTGCCATGAATCTAGCCTGATCCATATTTTACAGTACCATTCATGAATGTTCACAGAGGGCAACAGGGCTCTATTGTCGTGATCTCATTTAACCTTTGCATTTAAACTTTGAACCAATTTCTTCATTTGTAGTCTCCATTTAAACACTATTTGTTGCAGCTCAGGGACAAATCACTGTTGCAATATGGCCTCTTTCTGAACCCTGAGCTCTAAGAACAATCTGAGCTCAAAAACCCCAACAAATGGCCCCTCTATTTCTCTCTCTCTTCTCTCAATCCTCACTCAGCCTTCTTAAAGACTTGCTTGGCAGTGACATCCTGAACCTTCATCTCCTGCAGAGAGAGAGAGAGAGAGAGAGAGAGAGAGAGAGAGAGAGAGACGTGACAGAAGAAAAAAGGATGAAGGACATTGTGAGATGCATAGCCCAGTTGTTAAAGATTCGATTGGGTTTAATCCAAGAACTAGGGATGTAACTCAACTCACGATTCGATTCGATTCACGATTTTGATTTCACGATTCGATTTGATTCATCGATCAATTTTTTGTATAAAATGAGATTCAAGACAAATTATAAATTAAGTGTGTCCTTTTATTATTGCTTGGACAAAATACTGTACGTTTCTTTGTGAAATTGAAATATAACACTATAATAATATACTAATATAGCACTTGTAAATTACTGCTCTTTTGTTGGTTTTGATTGCTTCTATTGTCCTCATTTGTTAGTCGCTTTGGATAAAAGTGTTTGCTAAATAACCAAATGTAAATATAATGTAAATGTAAATAACAAAAC